ATGCTCACAGCAGAAAGCAACACTGGAAAGGCTGCTCTAAATACTACAGAGGGAGAATCCTCTGCTTCTGATGGTGAGCCTGCTAAAGAAGAAGAAGAAAGCGGCACGGAAGAGCCCCCAGAGGAGAGAGATTCTGCTGCGAATGAAGGAGGAGAGGCGAAAGAGGAGAAAGACGACGGTGGGTCTTTGTGTGTGATCGGTGGTTGTTAGCGGCCCTATCTATGTGACACATGCAGAATGCAAGCAAGAAGAAAAGGAGCTGGACAAAGCACAAGAAAAAATAGAAAAAGCACAGGAAGAGCTCAACAAACTACAGATACACGAAGAAGCTGCTGAGGCGAAGGAGCTAGAGAAACGAGCAGATGCGATTGCACAAACAGAGGCAGAAGAAGAAGAGGATGAAAAACTCAGCGAAGAGAAGTAGTTGCAACCTACAGAAGATAAACACTGTTATGTGTGGCGCATGCACAGCACACAAACTGTGTATTTCAAGGGCTTTCTGGGGCTAGGAGTTCCTCAGAGCCTTCTAAACAATAGCAACACTAAACCCTAAACCCTAAACCCTCAGCACAACACAGACATCAACGCGAGCAGGTACACTCCGCCGCTAAACCCAGAACATCTATCCACGAAAGTTTCTTAGTTTTGTATCTCTTAAAAGCATAGAAACCCCCTGAAATATATAAAAGTTTTGTTTCGTTTCGTTCCCCCCCACCCCCTCTGTGCTGACCACCGCAACGGCGTCTCTTGCATATGCTTTGCGCTTTCTGCTGAAAGCGTTCGGGTTTCTGAGACATATGGTGGCACGAAAGGTTAAAAAATGCATTAAAAAAGCATAAAATAAATTAATTAATTCATAGAAATATATATTAAATAATATTTAGAGTTGTTTAATATGCATTCATTTCTTTGTTTCTGAAGGCTTGTGCAGCTTCCCGTTCGTTACCACTGGGGCAGCAGCGACTCGGCAGTGGCACGGCCTTGAGCGCATGCAGTGAGAAAAAATGTTCAAAAAGGTTCGTTTGTTTAGTTTTTTATGTTTAAAAACAAAATTATATTGAGAATATTTATTTTTTATAAATACACAGGCGTCAGGTGAAGCCACACACACACAGTTCAAGTTTGAATCCTGTCGTCGTTGGCCAGACAGCCGAATCCAGAGTGGGAGGATGAGGGTTTTCTCGGTATAATTTGCCTTGTGAAACCGAAATAAATATTATTAATTGATTTAATT